ATCTGACCTATATAACCCCATGTCTCTTTGGTTACATAAAAACTGATCAGACAAATGTTTTAAGTGCTTTTACAGTATTTCTCACTAAGAGGAATTCGGATGACCTTTCTCTCTCTCTTTTTCTGTTGCTTGCTCGCTCTTTCTTTCTTTTACTTTTTGTGTACACTAAGGATTGAACACAGGGCCTTTACAATGAGCTAAATCTCCAGCCCTCTTTTTAAAATTTTGATACAGTTCTTGCTAGTTGCTAAGTGTCCCTGGCTGGGCTTGAACTTGCAATCCTCTTGCTCAGCCATTCAGTGTGCTACAATTGTGGGCATGCATCACCACAACCAGCAGAAATTTCCATTCTAATATGACCACAATGAATGTAAGGTTGGTTGGAGAAATAATAGTGACAGTTCAGGGATGGGACTCTGGAAGTCCACAGTCTGGAGATTCACAAGTCTGCTAAGTACAGTTATCCAAGAAGATGGTAAGTGCTTTAAAACTTTTGCTAAATAGGATTCTTGGTATCAGGGAAGGGTTCTAAACTCAGACCTATAAAATATATAATGCTGGTTAAGGACATACGGGGCAGCAGTCTCAAGGAGAAGGAACAGATATGTAATGAGAAAAATAAGGACAACTAGAAATTTCTCTTTTAATAAAAAAGCAAGAGTTCTAAAAAGTTTAAACAATTTATTCAAAGTGGTATAACCAACAGTGGACCAAACTATGCATTTCCTATTCTTTATGCATTTATATGATCCTCCTAGAAGAGATGGTTCTTTTTTAAGGGGGTGTTCTTTTTAATGTGGGGATTGAACTCAAGACCTCATGCACGCTCAGCATCCATTTGCCAGTAGTCCCACCTTATGCCTCAGAGTTTGCCTATACAGAAGGATTCAGTGAAAGTCTGAAAATTATTTATTAGGTAATGTTCCCCTACTGATGAACTATAAGTCACCTTTGCCACATGTAGTTGAAGGAAAATAGGCTCTGTCAGCTGCCATCTTCTGAGTACTTCTCTAGTTCTATTATTCAAAGCCAAACACCTGCAATGTAAACTCCAAAGTCTAACTCTGCCTTTACCTACTACTTTACAATAATCCCATGCTCTTTAACCAGTGCCTCTTGGCATTGCCTGTCTGCTTTTCTCAACATCTCTGCATAGAAATGTCACAAACCAACCTCGTAGAGGCTTCATTCAGACTATATACCAGTTTCGTTTGGCTTGTACTGCCTCAAATGTAGCTTAAAATCAAAGCAAAACAAAATTAGATGAGTTGCTGATATTTTAAAATGAGAAGATTTTACATAATAATCCATTTTTTCCTGCCACCTTTTGAAACATTGTGCCCACTTTTTTACACGTAGCCGAGGTAGGAAGCAGGCAGCAGCTGGTGCATTTTGGTAGCTATACATATTCTCTAGGTGCTGGTAGCTTCCGCTCAGCCTATTTCTGCTGTTTATATGATTAGTGGGCATGTCTCTGAAATGCTTCCATTTATTTCGTGAAAGATGAAAGACCATTTTGCAAGACTCCTGAAAATTTGACTTCTGAGCTCCTTTACTTGAAAAGTTTCAAAATCATAGGTTTGATTTTATAATTTTCCTTTGATAATAAAAACCACTGGATAGTGCATTTAAGGCAAGAGAAACCAGTTTTTCTTTTAATGAATTAATATAAAACCAATGGAGGTCAAGAGCATTGTCAACTCAAATGATTATGGTTTATCAAAAGCTTTTTTCAAAAGACATTTACTTATAAGGTTCAAGAACTAGAAAGAAAACAAAATGGCATGTAACTTAGATACTTACAATAGATTTCTTTTCCTAACATCTCACTAGGTGTTGATGTAGCTAATATTTGGTTATTTCTAGTGACAGAGAACCCATCATCCTTCTTTAAGTCCATTTTAAAAAAGAATTTTGGTTACCACAATGTAAAACTGAGCTAAAATTTGTCTCCATATAGCTCTCACTAATTGATCATAATTTTGTTTGTTGGAAACTTGAGGGATGTCATGGTTTATGTTTGTGTCCCCCAGCCTCATGAGTTTGCATTGTGTATTTGTGATTGGTTCATTGTCTAGGGCTTGGATTAATGGTGTCAGTGCTCCACCCACCTAGGGGTGGAGCCAGGATGTGATGTAATGGCAGGAGGAAGGTATGTTTTTCTCTTTGCTGGTTCCTGCTTGCTGTTTGCAGCTGCCATGAACTGTAGCCCAGCCATGGCAGCCTGCCTTGGAGCCAACTGAATGTGGACTGAAGCCTCCAAAAACTGTAAGAAATAAACCTTTCCTTTCCCAACTCTGGGCTTCAGGTATTGTGTCTCAGCGATGAGTTAACAGTAACAAAGACAGAATTTGGTACCGAGAGTGGGGTCATTTGCTGTGACTATACCTAACCATGTTTTTCGAAAGGGTTTGGAAATGGCTTGTGGGCAGAATTTGGAAAGGTTCTGACATGTCGCCTGGATGCATAGAACTGGAGCAGCTTAGGCTTTCTGTAGAGGAGATATTGGTCAGAGCTCAGGAGACCAGAAGGCTGATAGAAAGCCGGATGGTAAAGACCAGGCTTGGGAGGTTTCTGCTGGGAAGGACTGCGTTGGTCATTGGACTGCACAGGATGTCTGTTATGGCTTGGCAGAAAGTTTGTCTGCATTTTGCTCCTGCCCAGAGACTTTGCCTGAGACTGAGACAAAGGGCAATGGACTGATTAATCTTGAAAAAGAAATCAAAAAGCAATCGAACATTGAGGCTGTGGCATGGCTATTGTTGGGGGCTTTCAGTCAGCTTTATGTTTCAAATCAGGAGCAAAGAGCCCAGCAGGATAACGTACAATGCTGTGAGTTTGGCCCGAAGGAAAATTCCAGGAAGGCTGTGGATTGTAAAGACAGAGTTGAGATTTTGATTCCTGAAGAGAAACAGAGAGATAAGAAAGATGGCCCCAGGGCATCCCAGGAAGCAGGTCCCCACCCTTTGCAGCCTTACAGCGAAGGTGAAAGAACTTGCTCAGAGAAAAAAATTACAGAGTGCCATGCTCCAGTAGCCCAGCCAAGCCAGCCTGCCTTGGAGCCAACTGAGTGTGGACTGAAGCCTCCAAAAACTGTAAGAAATAAACCTTTCCTTTCCCAACTTTGGGCTTCAGGTATTGTGCCTCAGCGACGAGTTAAAAGTAACTAAGACAAGGGGCAATTGTACTTATTATTCCTTAAAATAGCCCTTCAGATATTTGAAATCACTGTAACATTCCTGAGGCTTTTTATTTTTATTCAGATAATTATCCTCAGTTCCTACAATCATTTCTCGCAGATGATCTGAGTCAGATTCCTGATCACAGCCTTTTCGACATCTTCCCTGGTTTACAACTAGGGCCACCCTTGGGCATTCCCTCCACATACTCATATCCCATCTTCACATCCTGCAGAAGTGGAATCCATTTCCCCTCCCTTTAAATTTAAACTGACCTCATAGTAGCCAGTTTCATTCTTAGATGCTCCCCTGCCCCCGTCTTTCCCCTTTCCTCTTCCTCTTCTCCTTATTCTTTTGTGGTGCTGGGATTGAATCTAGGGCCATCACAGTGAGCCACATCCCTCGCCTACCTGTCTTCTTTTCTTTCTCTCTCTTTTTCATTTTGAGACAGAGTCTTTCTAAGTCACCAAGTAGCCCAGGTTGGGCTCAAACTTAGAATCCTCCTGCCTGCCTCAGCCTTCCAGAGTGTTGGGATTATAGGTGGGCACCACCATGCCTGGCTCACCTCTACTTCTAAGAGGATTGGGAGTTTCTTCTTTCTCTCCCATCAAGGCCAGAAATCATGTTACACGTTCAACTACCTTGAGACTACCAACTATCTGTGAGGATTCCCCATAACTTATGTGAAAATGGTATATGGAGAGCATGATCCTTAGTCAGTTAGCCTCCAGCTTTTCTAACCATTCCAAGGGAGAAACCAGAAGTGAGTAAAGAAGCATCTTAGCCATCCCAGTCCTAGACCTGGCCCATTTGGCTTAATCCAGATTGCAGAATCATGAAAATGATACATTGTTGCTATGTGAGCCCATTTTGGGGATGATTTGCTAGGTAACAGTAGGAAGCTAAACCCTGGCCAACATATTTTAAAGTTGTTTTAGTGTGGCAATAAGAATACATACATTTTATTTCCGTTTTCTCTTTAAAGAAAGATCAGCATTAAGTGAACAAATTTTCTAAAACAAAAAACAAAGAAACTTGCTTCTTTTTTTATATGTACTATATAAAGCTTCTTAGCTATAGAAAAATACAGGCAGAAATGTTTAACCATTAGCAACATTGGTAACTATTACTGATTACAAAAACACAACAGAAGAAGAACAAAGCCAAGCTGACAAAAGAAGTGCTTAAAAGGTGGTTCTTTAGAGTCCTTAACATGTTTCATTAACAGTGTCTAAGTCTGAAGTTTAGGTGATGCTATGGCTTAGGCAAATGTTCCCCAAAGGCCTTGGTATCAAGGCTTAGTTCATAGCCTGTGTAGCTGCTGCATATGGTAGACTCTTAAAGAGGTGGAGCTTAATGAGAGGTTTTAGGTCACTGTAGGCATGTCCTCAGAGGGGTTTGTGGGACCCTGGTCTCTTTCTCTCTTTGCTTCTCAGCTGCCTTAAAGTCAGTAGCTTGCTCTTCCAAATAACCTACCATGATGTGATGTGCTGCTTTCCACAGGGCCATAGCAACATGGCCAGTTGACCTTGGATTGAAACCTCTGAAACTGTGACACAAATGTTTTATTTCTATGAATTGATAATCTCAAGTATTTGTCACACTAATGGAAAAGTGACCAACAGAAGTGATTATCTAAATTTTAGCCAGATGTCATGGAGCATTTATATAATTTAAATCAAATTAGTTCAGGGCAGAGATTCTCAAAGAGGTGGGGGAACATCATCAGGGAAAGTGAGAACGTGGGTCATATGATGTATGTAAGGGAACTGACCCCACTAACAGCAAAATTAAGTGCCTTTGCAAAAAGAAGTTACCCACTTTGTATCCTTTTACTTCTGACTCATTATCCAGGGCCTTCACTTGATCCCAATTCAGGATAATTTTGGAGTCTGATGAATTCCATATGATGTTTCCAGGAGGTTGGCTTGGTGCTATAAAAAATTAAGATATACAAAGTCACAGATTATTAAATCTCAATGGATTCTGAGGAATATCTCCTTACTAGAATTTGAGAGTGGAAGCAATTTAATGGGCTATTGCACTAATACGTGTCTTCAAGGTCACTGAAATCTGACAAGATACAGCACTGCAAATGGAAAAAGATTCAGTTGGTCGCCTAACATTTATAGCTAAAAGAAGTAGCCTTTCCCAGTAAGGAGAAAAACATTTATCTTTCTGTACTCTAGAGCAATGAATTTGGCATGGTATTCTTAAAGATTCCGTTAAAATGTTAAGGTGAATTTGAATCCACATAATGATACCAATTACTATGCAAATGATCATTGGGAGGTGGGGATTGGGAATGAACTTGAGTTATGTTTGATGAGTACCCCACATATTTGTAAGTGAGTTTCTCTTACGTGGTTTTCTGGTTGTGACATTGACTGTAGCACTGGAGGGGCCTGTTCCCGCAGAATTATATGCCTTGACTGCTAAGTGATACAATGCACTGCCTTGTAAATTGGTGATTTTTGTTGATGTCTGATTTCCCACTGTTCGTATTTTTCTAGCATTTTCTTCCTTGTCATTGTGTCTCCAATATTTAACCTGAGAAAATAAGAAGAAAGACCTGGGAAGTCATATCCATTGGGAATATTTCCAAATGTTATCTGGTTAGACTTTTCTATGCATGTTCTAATGATAGACTAATTTTCTACATCAATCCATGAGCAGAACCTGCAGAAGAAAGAGGTTTGTTTGTCCTGAGTAACTATTCAGAGTAAGAAAGGCCTTTTTATTTTATTCTCAGCTCCTTAGTAAGGTGGCAAATCAGCACATTTGTTGGTTATTTCTCTCTTTCATCTTTATATTAGATGTAAGTTTTTTTTAAAAACCATCTCATACATGCTCATAATTGTAGATAATTTGAAAAATACCACTGCAGTTAACATAGACAAGGTCTAGTCTCACAAGTGGGTGAGGGGCATGGACCCGAGGCACACATTATTTGCTTACCTCATAACCTTGTATTCGTCCTCTATTCTTCCCCAGTGGGGAGGCCCAGAAAACTTCGATATCTGTGGCAGAAAGACTTCTGGCAAAGATGCTGGCTGGTGGTTTAGTGGGTTCTGCAGATGAATAAGGACATATAATTATAATATTATGAAAATGTTATGCTATTACTCTAGTAGATGAACAAGATGTACTTTTAGAGGCAACACTGTAAGGTGCAAAGATTCCACAGTTATAGAACCATCCTCAGTGATTCTGAGGCATTAACATGAGGTAGGTAGTGGTACTCAGAGACTTGTGCAAAGTCTTCAGTTTGTAAATTTGGGGGCACATGAGATTAAAGTAGGCCAAGACTACTTCAATTTAAGCACCAAGTCTTCAAAGCCAGCAATTCCCTCAACAAAGATGTTTCTTAATCAGTGTTCAACACAGGTAACAGTTCTAATCACTGGATTATGAAAATGAGAGAGAAGAAAAAGGACAGTCAATTGACTTGACTATGATGTAAGGGACCTAGATGGAATTTTCATTCCATGCTGTAAGATCTATCATCTTGGACAACTCATTCACACTGTCTGGGTCTCAGTATCCCCAGCTACAAAAGACAAGTTGAATAGGTTGTTTCCCAATTTTCAGTTATTTTTCGAGATTACTGCCACAATTGTGTACCATATGTATATAAAATTTTCCTTTTGATGATCTTTCTTAGTGAAAAATCTAGTTTCGACATATTGCAAAAAATAATATTTATGAAATATTGTATTTGAATGTATAGTTATATATTTTATAGAGTTTTACATATATTTTATTGATTTACATTATTCCATAACTTTCAAGGCTCATCTGATGTCATTTATAATCAACATCTGCATTCTCCCTGGAATGCACATCATATCCCAAGAAATGTTGGACAAATATATCATATCCATACACAATACTATAAAATTCTATTAAAGTGTTGCTAGACACTAGTGACTCAGGTGAAAATGACTCATCTTCAGAAAATACATCAGAGAGCTTGGCATGGTGGCACACACCTGTAATCATAGCATTTGGGAAACTGAGGCAAGAGGATTATTGTGAGTTTGAGGCCAGCCCAGGCTACAAAGTGAGCTCAAGGCCAGCCTGAACTGCATAGTGAATAGTGAACCCTGTTTCAAAAAAAAAAAAAAATCAGAGAGAATATACCACTGATACCCAAAATTTATAATATAGTATGATGAGACTTTTAATAGAGGAATGTAAAACTAGTATAAATACTATGACTATAAATGATACCAGATAAACTAAGAGAAAAAGAAGTACCTACCACACCCGCCTAGCCAAGGAGTTTCACAGAGGGCCTGGTTTTTGATTTGAGGTGGGAAGAAGGGGTGGAAATAAGAGGAAAGGGGGCACATGCAAAAGGGTGGAAGATTTGTCCAGATTTAGATACCGTTGGAATATGGAGTATGTATGCGAGCAAGGATGGTATGAGGCAGAAAGAGAAGCGGGGGTGGGGGAGTCATGGAGCACTGCTCAATCTAAGGGACCGTTTCTCTGCTGGTGGAAATCACTTATTGCATCTTCATTGACTTGAAACTAATGCTTCAAGCTTCATGTATTTTAGTTGTCTCCTTCTCATCATCTTCTTTAAAATAACACACAGCAAGGTTAATGAGGTCTGTGTGAGAGGCAGCCTGGCAGCAGCCATAGCCCAAAAGTGGTAATAATGTGCCAAAATCCTTAAACGTTATTACAGAGAAGATGACAAGGAGTACAATCACACTGCTTCATGTTTATTCTTTTCTTTAATACATAAGAATAAGTTCTAAGTACAGTACTATGTTTAAAAAGGTAAGTGGTAAAAGGGAATGGAACTTTCTATTTTGATATTCACTTAAAGAGATAAAAGATAAGTCTTAAAGTAATACAGATATGAAGATCTTATATCTATCACACTAAGGTTCTTAGCAAAGGAATTAATAATGGGTAGCTATGTGTTTTTAACATACCATATTCAAGAGTTGGATAGTAGATAAGGAACCAATTTTATTTTGCACTATACTTTTCTCAAATTAGTATATGCCTTCAGTTTAAAGGTATTGCATATCCTAAATTGACTATATACCCTCAATTCAAAACTGATTGTAAAGCATAAAGGGAACACCATTTGGGAAGGTAAGAATCGTCAATTATCTGGGTAACATAAACCATACCTTCTTCAGCAGAATACACCACTGTGGTGGGACTGAAAGGGCCTTCTCCTTTGTTGTTGAAGACACCAACTTTAACCTCAAAAGGAGAAAAGGGGCGCACGCTCTCATTTCTGAACACATATCTGGAGGCGTCGGCTGAGGCCAGTACTGTCAACATCCATATCATTTTGCCATATGGTCGGAAGGCTACCACGTAACCAAAGCCCCTACCATTCTGTAATTCTTCAGGGACCGTCTGGGAAAGAAGGAACGTGTTTCTCAGAAATCACACTTGTTTAATTCAAATACTACAACTCTATCCCACTCAAGACACTGTTGCCTACACCCCCAATGTTATTTTGGAATTTGCCAAGGGTCTCTTAAATTTAGGTTTGGCCACCAATCTATTTTAGATATTCATGAAGTGTTAGGCTTTCGTTTAAAAGATTAAATGAAAACTTGCAATGAGAGCTTGGCTCTGATAGGGCAGACCCAACTCTGAAATAGGTAGAAGTGACTGTGAAAAACAGCAGACAGCTGATTTAAAAACTAACACTCGCAACATGTGCTATCTAGCACTAATTTTCTCTCAGTGCCACATAGACAAAAGATCTCACTGCAAGAATGAAGACCATTTTGTCTCAGGCGAAAGCTTTCCTTTTGGAATGGAAGCATTCAGGAGGAGGGGGTGAGGGATTTCTTTAGCTGCTGGGGCTCTGGGTGACTGTAAGGTGTTAATTTCTGGAGCCATTGTCTAGAATCTTTCAAAAATGGGAAGGGCCTGTTCTGAAGCTCCCACATCCTCTCTCAAAATTAACTTTTAATAAATTGGTAACTAACCTTCCTCCAGGTTCTTTTAAAACCTACCTCAATCTAATAGCAAAGCCAACTGCCAGGAATTGTGCTGGTACGCTGAATTGACTGCTGGCAGATGTTTAAATCAATTGGTCATGCAGCAATTCAGAAAGAAAAGAAAAACTGGTTTTCTCTGAACCAGTCATCTTTATTTTCTGTTTTAAATTTGTGTTGTTTTTCCTCTTAGGATTGTTATTCCTTTGTTAAATAAAAATAGAACTTGCCTTGAAAGCTGATGGGCAAACACATTCATTTCCTACTAACCATTAGTGATGAGAGAGGAAGTATTTGTGCTCAAATGGATTTTAGCTGTTAAAACAGAGGAGGTGCCTTCCTGGCCATGTTTAACACAGAGGAAAATAAGGAAGTATCTAGACGAATGTATGTCGCTTTTGTTCTATGATTCATTTACCTCCCAGGTTATAACCAGCTCAGATTTGCTGCCTCCACCACCACTGACGTTAGCTGGGGTGACTTCAGGGACTGTACAGGAGACAAAAGAGAAGTTACATCAGGGGGCAGTGCCTCATAGGAGCTAGTAAAACTGTGGCTGAGGTGACTTACTGTCAGCAAACATTCAGACACATACACCTTTGAATCTGGAGATCAGAAAGAGCATGGTGAGGGGGCCAGCACATCTGCTGAAGGAAATAACATGTACCAAAGGAGTTCCTATTAATTACCGGTTTCCTATGCAACAAGGTACACACCCGCTCTGGCAGATCTGACCAAACCTGCTGCTCCCCTAGAGACAGTGAGTTCCAGGCAGGAGGAAAGGACTGAGTGCTGATCCTCAGGCTTAGTTAGACATTTATTAACCACATGGTGGTTCACAAAGGGAAGGCAGGACAAACTGTGCCCGTGCAGAGCTTACAATCTAGTTGGAGGCAAGAGCACAAGCAGGCTGATCAGGGATCAATGTCGACAACAAATAATTATGGTACAGACAGAATGGAGAGGCGCAGTGCAGTTCTGGAGTGGCGGGCTGCTCAGAGGAGGAAGGTTGGGCTAATGGCTTCTCAGAAGAAGGTGAATTTTGAGCTGGGTGTTGAAGCAAGTGATGAACATAGGTTGACACCTGGCTCACTGTGTTTAACCTCTTTGATTCCCAGTATTCTCTGTAAAACAGGGGGAAATCAGGCTTGCTTCCTCCTCAGGCTGGATGAATGGAATTAATTCAATTATGATTTTGGAGGGGGACAAGAAAGACGTTAGGGGGAATTTTAAGTTGCCAGGCTAGGACATACGCCTGGCAAGCAGGCATGTCCCGTTAGTAAAGCCAGGGATGAACTTTTTTGTTTTTGTTTTTCAGAGAGTACAGTCAGATTTCGCATTTCCTCGGGGAGTTTGTTAGTCCTTCAAAAAAATCTAGTCTTACCAGTGCTGCAGCCTGGTAGGTGGCACAGACATAGGCTTCCCACTTTACCCAAGAGAAATAAATGTGGTTATCTCTCCCTGTGCTCATTTTATTTTCCAAATTCGACCTTTTGAGAATGCTTTATGCCTTAAGAAAATCCTAGTGAATATTTCTGAAGAAATAACTCCCTGTGAGATGATTTCTGTGTGATTATTTTATTTGAAATGTATGTGCATGCGTGTGTGTGTGTGTGTGTGTGTGTGTGTGTGTGTGTGTCTATGTTTAATAATCCTGTTGGGAAAGTTGGTAGCACATGAAGCAGTGAACAAAGAGTTGGTTTTTGGGAGAACAAAGCACGGTGTGTCTTTTGCTATACAAGCAGACACAATGAATGAACAGGACTAAATTCTAGACTAAAATTCGGTGCTTGCTAATCTGAGGTTCTACCAGCTTGATTTGTCATCATTATAAACATTTAAAGGGGAGAACATGCTAATAGAGAGCCTTTTTAGGGTTAAAAAGCAGGGTGCATTTGAAACCTCTTCCTAAGGAATAGGAGCTGGTGTATTCCCAAGTTACTCACGGGCCTCTTCTGTCCTCCGTTTCTCTGAGGGCCGGCTGGGCTCCCCAATGCCAATCACATTGGCTGCAACAGTGCGGAATTCATATTCGACCCAAGGGTTCAAACCCACCACTGTTGCTGTGAATGTCTTTCCATCAATGAGTTCTGGGACTGAAAAACATAAAAAGGTAAGGCTATTTCACTGAATCTCTAGAAAATAAAAGCAGACACCATGTTAGAAACATAGGAAAGTACTCCATGCATTCATGCATCCATTGATCCTCTCCTTCTTCCCTTCCTCCTCCTCATTGTCTTATTCAGGGAATTCTAGTGGTGTGATTGTGGCAGTGAAGTAAGAACTTTGTAAATTAAACTATAAGCCTCAAGTCAGAAACCAGCAGATAACATCACAAGTGACACAATCTTCCAGCCTCAAAACTTGACTGTAATCTTTATATTATCACCAAAAATGTTTTCCTACATACACTGTAGGATTGTGTATACTTTTAATTCTTAGAACCATCATACAAGAAGGTAAAAGTAATTTTTATTGTGCCCATTTAGCAGAAGAGGAAAGTGAAGATGTACAGTGATCTGCTGATTTCTGTAGTAGAATCGGAATGAGAATTCACTGCCTGCCCTCCAGATTTTTCTCATCTTTTATCCTAAGAAACTCCTTTGACTCAGCAGAAAGTCACTGATTACAGCAGGAAGCATAGAAGTTCATTTCTGTGTTTCAATAAGTGAAAATGAAAAACATTGGGGTTGTTAAAATCAATATGATTTAAATAAATTGCATAAAATTAGATATACAACTCCATTTATTTCTACTTCAAAACATCAAAGGTATGCTGCTAGCCTTTGGGGACTAGAGGAATATGTAACTTGCTTGTGGGAAATACCTGTTCATACAATTCTTTTCCCTGAAATTAAATCTAAATTTAAAAATGAGATATTAACAGAGGTAGAGGTGGTATGTGAATTGTTTAAGACCCAAAAGAGATGTGATTATGAAGCTTTTAAAAACTAGGAAGTATATTGTAAATATAATGAATGAAAGAATAAAGATGAAAATGCTGCCGCTGATAATGATGGTTTAAAAACACCATAGAAACTGTAAAATTGACTTTGAAAGATTCACACCTCTTCATCCCCAAATTTATCCATTCAAAAAAAAAAAAAAAAGGAGCAGCAAGTCAGAAGACTCCCTACAGTTTTTAGATATTGCTTTCTGTAGAGTTTCATATAAACTTTACAAAGCCTGTGATTATAGGCTGGCATAATCCTCTGCTTCACAAAGTGTATCACAGTGGTACATAAATGGTTTTAGGTAATAGGTAGATTGATGCATTTTCCTTTCATAAATAATTTTAAATATGTTAAGGAAAAAAACCAACACGACTGACCCATCATTTCAGATATTACTGCTTAGAGTAAATGAAACAAACAAATTGAGTCTGTATGAGAGAAAATGTTAAGTAAATGATGGTACAATTAGCTGAGTCTGGGAGATAAGTCATAAGGTAATCAGTTAGAGCTCTGTCCACCTAGATGTTCCTTGGTTTCTGCCACATTTCACTCTCCATTGTGCTAAAGTCCATAAGTTCCTGAGATGCCAGAACCAAGCTTCCAAATTGATACCTGTACTGACTGCTTGCCAACCCACGGAGAATGGAGTCCTGGCTTGAATGACATACATGGTGATGGGGCTATGGTTGTCAGGCCCAGGTCTCCAGGAAAGCTGAGCAGTAGTGTCTGTGATTTCATCAATGGTCACAGCTTCTGGGGGACCTGGGGGACCTGGGAAAGAATAAAACCCTCAGAACTGGACCAGTATGCTCAAATGTTCAAGGAAATGACCAGTTGTTTTAATGGGATATTGGCCCACTCAATCATTTATTCATCCACTCAGATTTATCAGATTCATTGTGAATATGTTCACATGCCAGAACTCTGCAGGGCTCTGAAACTACAGACAACAATGAGAGATTTCTTTTCCTTTCTGCATCTTACGAAATAATAAGAAAAAAAGGTAAATAAATTATTACAATAGAATATTTGTTTTGATGCTATGAGAGAATATTGAGATATAATAAGAGTTCAAATCCATTTCTCCATCATTACTTTGAGTTCTTACTATGGGTCTGGTAGAGTTATCTGGTGCTACAGTACTGATAGATGATAGATACTGCTCCTCATTTCATGCAGATAACGGTCTGTTGGAAGTGGTTATTTCAACTCCTGAGGGAGTGAACTTGAGCAGAAATAGATGTAGGGCATTGGGGGTCACAGTATTACTCTGCACACTGTGCTCTACTGTAATTACTAACACCCCTATACCTCTCCATATCCAGTAGGAGCACACACTGGTGTGCAAGGAACTGCTGTGAAAATGACCAGTGCTCAAGAGTCATAAGACTCCCTCTCTTCAAAGCAATTTAAAAATTGGGTTGGAATCATTTACAGTTTCTGTATTTTTCTACTTTGTCCATCTTTGTATTTTTCCACTTTATCTTTCTGATATTCTGATGTTCATTGTTTCTGTCCATGTTCTTAAACCATTGAAAGAGGAGAAAATCAGATTTAAATGAAGACTGGGAATCATGAAGGAATAGAGAGATGGAAAGCAGTTAGCAGGCAAAGGCAAAATATCAACAGGCCAGAGCAAATACCCAAGTTGTCCTGGTTTCTAATGTAAAAATCTCTGACCGGGCAGTTAAGAGGCTTTAAACAAGGCGTATCACCTCAGGAGAGAAGGTGATCATGAGCGGGTATGATAGTGACCTCATCCCATTACATAGGCATGGGGGGATATTTCGAGGAGTAATAGTAATCCAACATACTCCCAGAATACTAGTGTGCCGTGTCACCGGCAGGGGTGGAGCAGATGAGGGTAGCTCTCATGGACTGGTGAAAAGTTAATGGCTATTTCCCAAAGTAAGGCTTTGTTCTGGGATTCACTCCTTCCTTCACCTTTGACGTGATGCCCTACATTCTCTTTCTTTTTTTAAGAAAATATTTTTATAGACCCGGTATGAGACTAAATTTACCTTTCTCATTCCACTTTTCAGTGAACTATCTGGAAATCTGTATCTGGAACTGATTAATTTTTCATGGTGACATTTCAGCATGTCAATCTAATGCCACCTAGAAGTGCTGAGGTGATCTTTGGCCGTCAGGATCCTTATTAACTAGGTAAAGTCCAGAAGACAATATCTTTTCCTGTTCTTCCTCCTCCTCCTCTTCCTCTTCTTCTTTTTCTGAACAGCTTTCCTATCTTAGTATTTCCATCCTTTTTTCTTTATGTAGGCCGCTTTGATGGCCTTTAGAATCTAAGCACTGCAAACAAAAAAGTGTTCATTTTGGACTCCTCAAAGAATTAAGCTAAAAGAAAGGCTCGGAGTCCATGGCTGGGGACTGTGTAAGAAGTAAACAGAAGTGTGTTTGAACTGGGTCTTGGAGAGCAGATGCGACTTTCATGGTTTTGTTTGTTTTTCTTTGTCTCCGTGTCACCTTCCCACCCTAATGAGTGACTGTGACCTTATAGAATGTTTACTAACTATTTTAGAGAAGTTGGGCCCTCTTTCAAAATGACAAAATGTGCAAATCTTTGTCCTCTGATCAAAATGATAACATGGCCAGGGGCCCACAGCCATCCTTGTCACAAGCAACAGCAGAGGTTTGACGCCAGTGTCTACTCCTTGCTCGGGGAAGAGTGGCCTTTCTAGCTGCCATTGCGGTGCTACAGACTAAAGCAGACATCAGAGAATTCAAGGAGCCAGAATCAGTTTCAAACACACAAACGCTTATAGGGCAGTGAAATGGATTTCTTCTTCCCCTCTGTAATATGTTTAGACAAGCTGCAAGGGCAAAGCAGTAGGCAATAAAACAGAAGATTATAGTTTTAAATGGCATATTAATTTATTGGCCTTATTAACTGATTAGACTAGATTTTCTTTTAGACCTACTTTGCAAATTCCTGTTGGTATTTGATGTTATTTTCTGTGAAATGAAGTATACAATGTCATTTAAGAACTTCAAGTATTACTGATTTAAATATTTATTAGTTTAATTTATTGGTGTCTATACTGCTGATCTGAGCATTATCCTAATTAAATAAAGCATACATTTCCAGTAGCACAATTCTTTTGTTCTCAAGGGAAGCACAGATTAGCTCTGGTATATTTTTATATGTTTATATGTTTCTTTAACTTAATCCATGTGTAGTTATAACTTAGTTGAAAGTTTTTTCCCTTATAACTCATCTTTATGTACACCATGACTGAAAGTTTTTTAAAGAATTTAAAGATAACCAAAATGTACATGACATAAATGTTATGTCTTAATAACTCTTGATAATTAAGTTGCCAATACACATTTTCACCTCCCACATTCTGCCTGGAGGATATAGCAGAGTTTTTTTTGTAGGCTTTTTTTTTTTTTTTTTTTTATCAGTACAGGGGATCGAACCACCTGCTTGCAAGGCAGGTGCTTATGCCACTGAGCTAAATCCGCAGCCCTGCATATAGCACTTTTTGTTGCTTCAGATAATACTTCATTTCCAGTGCATGCAGATTTACCCTGCCTCCAGTTCTGATAGCCTGGATTTTCTTTTTCTTACAGTGAAAGCCTGTATGGGCTCAGTTAGCAGACCAGATACCTCAACACCAATACTTAGAGATTCTGATTAAGAAAGTATGAGCCAAGAGGTTATTCTGATAGTGTGGGTTAGCATCACTTTTTTTTAATTAAATTTTTTTGGTAGTACTCTGAATTAACTCCAAGATCTCATTGTACTAGCCCAATACTCCATCACTGAGCTACACCCTAAGTTCAGCCTTATTTTTAACACCTAAGCACATATAAGTTAAATTCTGATAAGTGTACTGGTTTGCTAACATTTTGATTTTCATTTAAAAATGTTTCTCAAAGGTCCACTTACTGTTTCTTTACAAATTGGCTTGATGAGACTTGGGAGGTGTGGCTGAGCTGAGTTCGTCATGCTTTTAGGCACACATTAGGTTTTGTTGGTAATATGGACTCAAAAGAGTCTCATAAACACTAGCTTTCACATTATTCCCAGAACGATTTGCTAAAACTCAGGTAGGCAAGAAGTGTTTTCCTCTAAAGCCGTACTTTTACAACCTGCATAGCCCTCTTAACCTCAGGGGTAAAAATGAAACTGGAAAAGCCTGATGATGAATTTATGCCACTAATGTAAAACACGAATATAGTTTAGTCCAGACACATCACAAAAGGGCACTGTCTCTTCTTTTCAGAAAAAAGAAAAAAAAAAACTTTTAGTGTTTGTTCATCTACAGCTATTCTAGAAGGTCATATCAATTCCAAGGAGAAATACTTGTCCATGAAACTTCTCTGGCCTGTTAACCACCATTTATGACATTTAGCTCACGACCAACTTTTTTCCAGAATTCTAAACCACTGAAGTTTTAGAGCTCTGTGCTAGAGTGGATATCACAAAAATATTTTAAGGACAGAGAAAAAATTTCAGTACCTCTTACAATCAGGTCTGCAGCAGCAGATAGTCTGTCCACACTTGTTTGGACCATGCAGACGTATTTCCCAGCATGCTTCAGTTGGATGTTTCGGATCATCAAATCACCAGCTGAATCCTGCTGATAACATAGGGGAAAGTGGCTACAATTACTATTTAATGAGCTCTAACTATCATTATCACACAAAGGATACTATGACTAATGGATTTACTTTATGCTGACTAGTGAAAACATTTGTGATGCAAGCCATGGCCTATTAAAAATATGTGAGCCTGTCTGAGAGATAACAACACGAACATTTTCAAAACATACCTGCAAGAAGACCTGTAATGTCTGGCATCTCTAGAGCTCTGAAGTAGTCTGCAACCCTTGTTAGAAGGACTTGAATTTAAATAAGGTGGCTCTTGATCTAATCGCAAGGGTTTCTTTAGACATCCTTTCAGCCTATAGCCTGCATTGGCATCCAACACTTTGGAATTCTATATTTGGACAAGGGAAACAAGTCCACTTTTGGAAGCATCTACATTTTCTTGCACATCTGATTTGCAGCCAGAATTTCGATTGCTCCAGGTTTGAATTAAAGGATTATGAAGACCAGACTCTCAAAGGAAATCTTGCAATACTTAGTGTGGAACAGTGCTAATTTGTTTTCCAAATACCAAATGCATGTTTGATTAGCAGATGAATAGGACTAATAATATTCCAGTATGAAAGTCTATGTGCTCCAGAATTATTTGACACAGTCCAGCAGCACAGTACTTTTAATAAATATGAAGAGAACCCTGCAAGGCTATCAAAAATGTGGCATTTAACTGAAGAAATCTTCTACATCTTGGAGTTGGGGTTCATAGCTCTGTTAATCAAAAGCTACAGAACAGCCATTCAAGCAAGCAGCCACCTAAAGAACCACATTTGGAATGCTCTACTTCTGTCTAAACCCTAATGGATGATAAGATAATTTGAGAGTATATTGGCCCTTCTAGGTTTTGTTATTCCAAACTATATAGAAAGCCGATATAGACCCGGCTGTAAACTATTCATCTAAATGGCAATATAACTGATGGTACTTAACTATACCTTGTAAATGGCAGGCCATGATGAATCTAGGGCAGGTGTGACACAGGAGGCTATTTGTTATTACTAAAAGCTCTAAAAGATTCTCCACTACTCCTCTAGGTCCTTTAATTACGTTAACTCAGTAAATATAGTTTTACAGCCAAGGAAACTCTAGAACAAAGAAGTTAAGTGTATCGTGTAGTCACTCAGCTAACTAGTAAACGGCAGACCCAGCTTGAGCCCACGATCAGCTCCAGTTCCTATCTGAACAATGATTCAACCCTACTCTCTAGAAACACCATATCCTGTTTGAAATCAGTGGATACTGGGTTTTCCGTTTTTTTTTTTTTTTTTTTTTTTTTTTTCACTAGAAGCCATCACATCCATATTTATCATCGACAACAGGAGAGAAGGACCTGCCAGTTAAGGTAGGTGGGACTGGAAGAGAGGCAAAATGTATAGAGATGGACAGCTGCATTCCTGATACTTGGTTGTTTAAATTCCAGCTGTGTGATTTCATCTCAGTCTCTTAATCTGTCTGGGTCTTACTTTATTGACCTTTGAAAGAAGGATGCCTTGCCAAAGGTGCTATGTGGTGAGAATCTAATGATGCTGTAAGTCTCTGTGAAATGCTTTTACAGACTGTGAAGCAGAGGGTGAATTTAAACTTGTATTACTGATGATCATGATCAATTTTCTTTGTGAAACAATCATGTCCGAGACTTTAAATTTAATTTAAGAAGACTTGTGATATTTTTCTGTGATTTTTTATCTGAAAGTTTTTATTTATAACATTTATGTTCTCATTCAGTTGCTACTATTTGTTGATCATGCCTTATAACTGCTTACTAAAATGAAGAAATAATTGCTAACCTATTTCATAAGGAATTCGTGAAGATGAAGGTGCTGATTGATAACAAGAAGATGATTGATAAATGACTAGGCACTTTGCAAATAAAAGGACTTATCATCTTCACCACAATAGGTATTATTATTAATCTTTCTATCTCAGACATTTCACTTGTTGGAACTTTAAGTAGATATTAAAATAAAAAGTGAGCCTCACAAGAGAATGTGTGTAGGGAAGGTGGGAAGCCATATTGGCATTAGGAAAATGCCTACACTATCTTATTGTTTCTCTTTTTCTACTATTTACATTTTTATACTCTTTACCAGGGGCTAAATAGGAGAAACTTGTAGCCTGAATATTTCAGAGCACGGCAACTTACTAACACTCATGATTTTGTAATTCCAAGCTTGCTCTATTTACTCTCAAGTTTGGACTGGGGTTTGCATCTTTAAAATACTGAAATTAAAAAAAAATAAAGTCAGGATTCAGTAAAAGTCTCATAAAACAGACTCCCTGGGAAATATACTGTTAACTGAGTACTACATTCATCCTCCTACCAAAAAGAATGCAACAATGAGAGCTCCCCCCTCTCCCATACTGTGGTCTGTTGTCTTCCAGAGAGCACTTGACAGTATCAAAGGGCAATGAAATAATAACTTCTCTAAAATGCCAATAGGCTGTCTACTAAGCATCATTTTCATTATGCTGGGTCACGAAGCAGTCACTGCAATAGGATGGAGTTTGGAATGGCATTGGCTTACCTCTTTTATTATCAAGTCCCAACACTGCAGACATTACTACTGATCCTGTGGCTGTTACACTTTGATCTCATACCTATGGTACTAGCATTAATTTTGAATTTATTTCTACAATTTATGGTGATAGTGCCAGTTTCACAGAGAGACATTTCCCATAGGCCAGCAATATAGTCATCGGTGCTTGACTCCATTCTGACATCTCCATCGGGGCCTCAGCTCTGCCACAGCATAGAGACCATATACATTTGATTGGTAGCCCATCCATGTTGACCTTGAGGGATCTATGTTTACTCATTTGTGTCTATGATATTCTGGGACATGCTGTTTTTAATATCTTATTTAAGAATTTAATGTATAAACTATCAATTTGCTTAATTTATAAGAATGTTCTCAATATGTACTTAGTTATTATAATCAGTGTTATCTTGCCTTCATGTAGTATAAACTTAAAAAGTTTATTAAGTAATTTCTTTTGTGGTGGGGATGGAGCTATGCATGTTTTTAGACCTCAAGGTATTTAAAATCCCCAGTACTTTTGTGAAGTATCTAAAATCTCTTTCAATTAGTTGAAGTTATTCAGCCAAACCAAATGAAGTAGGTCCAGAATGGTTACTGTTGGTAACGTTATTTAGTCTTTCTCAACTGAGGTTCAAGAGAGAATCCCTAGTGAACTGAGACATCACTCATATAACTTTTCTCCTTTGCATCTGCAATGATATCAGTTGGACACCATCCTTGGGAAAACTGAGAAAATAGTCATCCAAATCATTTTTAATACTCTGTGACTCAAACTCTGAGAAAGTTAATGTGCATGTAATGAAGAGAATTAGCACTATACTTAGTGGAAAACACCCTCCCAGTATAGCATATGAATGGTTTTCCAAGCATTAGGCCTGTATATTCAACTTACGGGAGTTACTATGAGATAGGCAAATAATATTCCTGTGGCAGTGTAGAAGGCGGGAGGGCTTTAAAAACCAGACTCCTTTTTCTGTATTCCATTATCTTTTGATTAGTTTTCTCCAAGTGAAGGGAAATCTGAGAGAATCTTTATTATCAATGGAAATATAGGGCTATATTGTGGCAGAAATTTGTTTTAGAAAAATTCTAATACATCCAACACATTTAACTTTTTCCCAGATCTAACCTTTTCTTATACTATGTTTAATGACAATACATATTGTTATAGAAAGTAAAGCATTTAAAAATTTCAAGCATTTGGATTCAAGTTACCTAGAGATAATAACCACTAGACTTCCAAGATCAAGAAAGTAAGTGCTAAATTTACAATGATGAATATTCTACAAGCATCAAAAGGAGTACAATTAATGATCTAGAAATATATAATGAAGTTATCTTTAAAATATTTTCTTAAAAAGTTTTATAGTATATTGTATGTTATGAACAGAGGACTTGGACTTTGAAGTTTAAAGTTGAATTCTGTAGTTTAGAAAGACTAGAGGAAAGCCATGTCATATATAATCCTAGAAAACCTAAGTTTCTTGATGCATACACAGAAAGGAATAACTAACTTGTAAGACTGTTGTAAACTTGTAGAGCAGGCTTGCTATATACAATTATTAACTAGTATCTTGTTTATTATGCAAAACGAAGTAGGAATTAACCAAGAGTTTTGCAAAATAAAGTGCTTCAATAAAATTAGTTATGTAACAGTAATTTTATTTTTTTCAAGGTAACTGAACAAGTTAGTCTAAGTCAGTTTCCAAAGTTTGTTTGCATACTGTTTCGTGTGGTAGCATGACATTAATACTTACCCCTCCAACTCTTTCAAAGTGGTCCCCATCCTTGTTGAAGTCTATCAGATGTTCATTAAATGACCATGTGAACACAATGTCTAATGAGTGATCGTGTGTCACCTGACATGGAAGAACAATGCTTTCTCCAACAGTGACGTCCATACTGGAAGGGGGAACCATTACCTTTGTTGGATCTGGAGTGTTAAAAACAAAATAAAACTTATCAACAAAGCTATGAACTTGCATGAAAGTAAAATGTAGAATCCAAGAGCAAAATGTAAGTAGTTTTGCTTTGTTTCTTCTTAGGCTGTGACCAAACACACCTCAGTCACCTGTGAAGGCCAGATTGAGGAAAAGAGATCATTTTTCATATGAAAACATGAAATTTCTCATTATGCAAACCTTTCCAAAGCAATAGAACTCAACAGGAGACATGGATTAGATCACATAAGGTACACAGCAAAGGGTCTGCCTCCTGGCAGCCTGTACAGAAATGATCTTCCATAAAAGGGGTTTTATAGCTCTCTAGCTTCACTACACCTAGCTGAGTACAAACAGGAAAGAGTCACACTAATTTGAAGGTTGTTGGAATTTTTTTCTGCAATAAAAGTGAGAAGAAAGTTTAGAAAATTCAGGAAAATTAAAAAAGAAACAAAAACAACCAGAATCAACATCTGAACCAAACCCAAACCAAGCAAGCAAAACCTTACCTAGATGGAAACTCTTTTCATTTTGGAATAGTTTCCTTACTCTTTTGGCTCATAGATTTTTAGTTTTATTTGGCATCTTAATGGTACATGTACAGAGGTCTTTTTGTCTCTATTTAATATAATCTAGATATATTTTTGACAAGACAGTTTTATAATCTGTATAATATGCTATTAAGTTTACGGTTTTAATTATTTTGAAATTAGTAGATATTTTAGCAAATTTTATTGCAAATATAATGCTGTAATGAACATCACTGACAAAATGATATTACTTTTTAAAAATAAAGACTACCAATTAATTTTCAAATTCATCCTTTATATTATAGCTGTAAGTAGTGATGAAATAGGGCTATTGAGTTGAGATCAGTTATAAAGTTCAAAACTACATTTACACACATGTATTTTTTTATTTTTCAATGCAATATAATTTTATAAATGACAGAGTATAAAATGGTAATGAGATTTTTAAAATTAATATAAAAGCGTTATATAAGTACCTAAAGAATAATATGAATTTAGCTATATTACAGAAAATTTTAGATAAAAAGCTACAAATAAGACAAATCAAAACCAAGAAAGATGGGAGGATACTGATCAATTATTTTTCATGTTCATAGGGTTGTGTTTCAGCTATGAGGTACATATTAAGAGTGAAACCTAGAAATTTTGAAATTATATTTCATAGGAGACATTTTGGTTTTATTTTAACTGACAATTATTGTATATATTTATAGAGTATAATATGCGGTTTAAGTAGATGTGTGGATTTTGTAGTGATCAAATCTATCACCTCATATCCATAAGGTCCTATTTCCTGAAAATCCTCACTAAAATTTCCTTTATAATGAGCATATTTATAACATTTTTTCTGCCCTTCTATACAACTGTGGAAGGAAAACAATTTGGGTTGTTATAAGGAGAAACCTTAAGCAGATAATCATTTGGTAGTAACATGCACTTCTGCTATTTTTTGAATACAGAAAAAGACCATGATAAGTATATTGATGTGCTTTTAGTCACTCACTACTGATTGAGCGATAGCTACAGAATGAGACATGAACAACAGATACTGTCAGCTAAGAGGTAATGGGACAGAAATACCCTTATTTCAAACCCTAAAGCTATTGTAAGCCACATAATAAAAAGCTACTGATTCACTAACCTTTGGGAAAAGCTACAGACTAAGATTTTTGTTTTTGATTGAGGGAAACAAGTGAAAACAAATCTTATTCTAAGCAAAAACCTAAGAATAGCTCCATTATGTTATGTGGCATTTCTGAATTTAAATTATTGTCAACTATTACATGAAAACTAAAACAGATTACAGAAACAGGTTAAAATTACATAACTGCATTTTTTAAAATGTGGCAAAGATGTTACCTAATTCTCTTTAACTATGTGCAATGATTTTACACTATTGATTTTCATTTTAATGCATCATTCATTTTATTCATCCACCAAGCATATATTCTAAGTTACAGGATATAATACATAAAGGAGATTGAGGGACTAATAATGTTTGTAAAAATTGAATTTCTTAGTGCTGTCAACTGCTTTACCTCAATAACATCATTTATTCCTATAAAACAAGTGTTATTCTCATGCTTGTTTAACAGATGAGGAGACCGATACCTAAGAGGAATTAAAGAAGTGTCTGCTGTACTACCCTGCCTCTCTTCATTTAGCTGAAAACATGATATCCATGTACAGGATAATCCAGAGAGTAACTCTAAGGACATAAGACAGAAATTTGCACTCCTGATTATGTATAGTCAACTAAAAATATTTAAATGTAGAAGAAATCCAAAGAATTCCTGCCGTGAAGTACAAGTGGTTTCAGTGAGATTCCTGCAAAAGTAATGAACCAGCTGCCTCAGGTGAGACTAGTTTGAAGCTTAAGTGTTAAACATGGGGGTAGAATTAAATGTCCAGGCTCAAATCCTTAGAAGTATTTGTCTTATCTCCTAACAATTTTGGGGCTATCAACAAGGGGTTGGCACTTATCCCAAAGCCTATAGCCATTTGAAATTGGTCATATTTTCATCTTTTCCCTACTTTGGTTCTGGGGACTGAACCATGAAGTACATGCACTACCACTGAGCCACACCTCTAGCAACTTGGCTCATATTGCTGACTGATAGAAAAGTTCATCACTTTATGTAACACATAGGGATCCAGAATAGTTTTGTTATTGGTAAATTACTGGCTTACTGACCATAGACCAGAAAATGTTCCTTAAATAAAAGGTCATACTGGTACAGCTGCTATACTGATAGCTGTTAATTCATTTAATATTTATTGCTAATTCATGTTCTGAGCCTGGAAGCAGCAAGAATCAATGCAAAATAAGTCATGCACTGTGCCACATCAGAGAGGTCTCATTGGGACCAGAAAGGATTAAACTAAAGAGGTTCAAAACCTCATTAACTCCTTAGTTTTCTCAAAGTGTATAATGTCTCTTCAGTATTCTTGCCTACTGTGTTATGAATTCTGATGCTTTTTAGTTGATTGATGTCCTTAAATTTGAATGCAAATGCTGTATACAAATAAACAGATGGATTATTGCAAACAAACTGTCTACCTTCCTTTGGTTTTAATTCATCATGATCAAGAAGAACCCATATTTACTTACGACTTTTGTTCTGAAGAATCACGCTAGCAATTGTTCTGCGCAAAATACTCTCAGAGGCAATTAGATCTCTGGATGTGAATTGATGGCTGGATTTGTATATAATTAAATAGCAACAATAAGTAAGACCAACAAAGCCATACACTTTCCTTCTCGTGGTTGATTCACACTACAGAAAATGACAAATTCAAGAGTCCGGAGGGCTGATACTTAAAACTATTTGTCAAGTGCTTAACTTTCGTGGAGTTAAAAAATTCTTTTACTATGATGAAGAAGAGTTACTTTCTTGATTTAGTTATCAGATTAACAACTGGATGCAGAAATTACACGTATTCAAACCATACTGCTTTTTGTCTTTGTTGATGGAAAGACATTGAGTCAGAAATTTTTGAATTAAAAGTATTCCAGCAAAAAACCACATTATCATTTGTCATTTGACCTCCTCAAAACAATCCTCTTCACTTTGAACATACTTATGCTATCATTGTTGCCGTTTTTTGAAACAGTTCTGGAAGTCATTTTCATGAGTGTCTTTCTGAGGTTTGATGAAAACAAATGTGGTGAATGCTGCTAAGAGCCATCCAGCAGAAAGACAGACTCACACAAACACCACTGTGTTTTATCGTCTACCTTGTTCACTGAATCTACACTGTGAGGCTTCTGGCTCATCCCCAAAGTTAAAATGGTAACAAAGGGTAAATGTTTTGAAATCAGTTCTAGACATCAAAGCAGCTACGGCAAGGCAACTAGATACTCATGAAAGAGGATTTCCAGAACTGCTTCAGAAAGTGACCAGAATGATACGATTAGTGTGTTCAAAGTGAGGAATATTTTGAGAGAGATTAATGGCAAAGTACTGCAATACATTTTGAAAAAGTAAGCATTCACGGTATTTTTGTCACATTTTACGTTATGTGTAGAAACATATGGTCTTGGGTCTATGGATAATTCCATTTTGATATTGCTTTTCCTTATACTATACTAACCATTCCATTTAAGGTGACAGTTTCTTTATATTTTGTTCATTGTATCAAGATATTCACTTGGTGCCTATTAAAGTAATTACTGTGTGAATATTTTTGGATCATTTTCTTTTATTAGCAAAGTTATTGACTGCATTGGTTTTGATGATCTGTTTTTTGGCTAGGGTTCTATCTTCTTTTGTACAATTAATTTTTATAGAGGTATTTTTAAACATGAACTTCTTCAAAGGCCTGGCGCTAACTGAAGAGCTACCAGCTAGCTTACATTTCTTGACAAGAGGGGACTGGATAGAGAACTCTTTTGGTAGTTAAATGCCACAACAAGGATTGTTGATTAATAATAGCAATAATCCTGGAGGTAAGATCTCAGGAGTTGAATTTTAGTACTTGAGAGTTGGTCAGATTTTTTCAGTATGAAAGCGGTCAGTGCTAGATAAGCTACGCTTATCAATTGTGCGTAAAACACATATCTAAAAGGGATAATGTAAATGTTGGATGAGAATTACAATTCACAATGATTTCAAGCTGGATTAACCTTTTATCAGGAATGAAATTTAATACTACACTTTAAAAGCTGAATGACATAGGTATACACTGGAGAATTGGTGGTTCACAAGGATAAATGTTTTACTGTGGTGGAATGCATGCAGCTGCCAAGTTAAGGAGGTAATAATCTAGTTGTATTTTGTATTAGAAAGAGCACAACTTACCAAGAATGTCCTTTGGATTCACTGACAGAATAGTACACTTAGGCTACTGAGTGATCTAATAAACCTAATATATCTAAAAAACTAATATTATTGATGGTGTTTAGCATTAGAAATAAAAAGTGGTTTTCAAGTATGTGAATGGTTTACAAGCAGAAGCTTAAC